CTACAGGAGCTTTTACCAGATAAATTAAATAGACACCTTAGGCCAAGGGGACACGAGTTTGAACTTCCATTAGTGAGAACAGAGCGATTTAAAAGTTCTTTTGTAAATCGATGTTTGTTTAACTTTGTTTAACCAATTCTAACCTTTACCTTTTTAACATTATTAATATTTTTATCCATAACTGTATATATCTAGTTATTACCTTATAGATATCAATAATTTTATCTTATATATTTTTATATTGTAAACTCACAGACGGGTGTTCTTGAGTATGAATAAAGACTGTTATTATTATTATTATTATTATTATTTCGATTCGTGCTGGAGCTGGTTTTTCCGAGTTGGTGGCTCTTGGTTTGTATATGTGTTCCAATGGTCGATGATCAGTTTCAATTTCGAATTCGCGTCCGTATAGATACATGTGGAAATGCTCGCACCCAAACACGATTGCAAGGGACTCTTTGTATGTCCGTATTTCTGCTCGGTTTCAGATAGAAATCTACTACCAAATGCAATAGGCCGAAATGAACGGTCATGCTGCTCTTGTAGGAGTACGGCTCGTAGAGCCCAAGGTGATGCATCGACAACGACTCTTGTCTTCGCCTCGAGATTATAGTGGGCTAGGACTGGTGAACTTGTTAGTGCTCGCTTAAGGGCTTGGAATGCTTGCTTTTGTGTTTTAGTCCATATGAACTGTGCATGGGCTTTGGTCAGTTGTCGAAAAGGGTAGGTTATGGTACTATAGTTAGGTATATACCTTTAGCAGTAGTTGGTGACACCAAGAAATGATATATCTTCGGAACAAGACTTGGGAGGGGTGGGGCTTGACTAACCGCTTTAATCTTTGCGTCATCGGGTCGAATTCCATTTCCTGAAATGATGTGTCCAAAGACGTTTACTTCGGGTACCATGAATGAACATTTTGGGTATTTGAGGGTCAAACCACTACTTTCAAGCTTCGTCAGCAACTGCTCTAACTGCTCATAGTGGGACTGCTCGTCGTTCGACCACATCCAGATGTTGTCGGAAATGTTGGCGGGGATGTCCTTAATGAGATTGTTAATGATTTCGTGAAAATACTTTCCTGAAGGTGATGCACCCATAATCAAGCGTGTGAATCGGTGGGGTCCATCATCAGGTGTGGAGAAGGCAGTAATGTACCGTAATTCTTCGGAAAGGGAAAGTTGGAGATAGGTCTACTTCGGTAAAGAATTTGGCACCTTCCATCTGGCGTAAGATTTCATCCACAGTGGGTATTTGGACTCGACGTCTTAGGAGGGCGATGTTGGGCACACGCATGTCCAGGACGAGTCGGACATCACCGGGTTTTTTCGGGATGGCAATTAGTGGAGAAAGCCATGTAGTTGCGCCATCAGCTCTTTCGATAATACCGCTTTCGCGCATTTCTTGTAGTTTGTCGTTCACCTTTTTCTTGAGCGGAAGTGAACGCGAGATGCACGCGTCATTTTCACGTCGTCTTTGAGATCGCGTCTTCTTTTCTAAATCTGTCTATTTCAACTTAACTTTCAACCTAACTGTCAACTTAACTGTCAACTTAACTGTCAACTTAACTTGCAATTGTTAACTTAACTGGTAACATAACTGTCAAGCTAACTGTCAACTTAACTTGCAATTGTCAACTTAACTGGCAATTTAACTTGCAATTGTCAAGCGAGGCAATAATTTAACTGGCAACCAAATTTGTTGTAACATGAGCCGTCAGGGACTCCGTTGTCAGGGGCTCCGTAAAATTCAACCCAGTTTTCAATTTAGCCCCTTCAACTATAATGATGCCCCCCCCTAACTTCGGTTCATTGCTCGCCAACAAATCAAATGGGATATTTTCCTCGGGAAAATTTTCTCAACTTTTTGATTATTCAAGATAATTAACGACATCAGGCCACGTGTTTTTGGATGCCGTTCCCAATAACTGCCATATTTTATTAAGTTTATCACTTATTTTTATTTTATTTTTATTTTACACGATTCGCCGCACCAAACAAATATTAAACTTATTCAAATATCTACGAGTGCATTGGCGGGGTCCCGACAAAAAAGACAAATTACTATACATGCACAAAAACATTAATTGGCTTTCGCCAAACTGTCAACAACATGATCTGAAAGATAAATTTTGGTCACTTGGTCCCTTTAGTTTTTGAAATCAAGCTCGATCAATTTTAGATGCAAGTGCATGATGGCATGTTTTGCAGTTCTTGCTTGAATTCGTGATTTCAATGAAGAACGGACACCATCATTGCTCGCCAACAAATCATTCATTGCTCGCCAACAAATCAAATGGGATATTTTCCTCGGGAAAATTTTCTCAACTTTTTGATTATTCAAGATAATTAACGACATCAGGCCACGTGTTTTTGGATGCCGTTCCCAATAACTGCCATATTTTATTAAGTTTATCACTTATTTTTATTTTATTTTTATTTTACACGATTCGCCGCACCAAACAAATATTAAACTTATTCAAATATCTACGAGTGCATTGGCTGGGATCAGTCCCACAGAGATAAACTCCAATAACGGGGTCCCGACAAAAAAGACAAATTACTATACATGCACAAAAACATTAATTGGCTTTCGCCAAACTGTCAACAACATGATCTGAAAGATAAATTTTGGTCACTTGGTCCCTTTAGTTTTTGAAATCAAGCTCGATCAATTTTAGATGCAAGTGCATGATGGCATGTTTTGCAGTTCTTGCTTGAATTCGTGATTTCAATGAAGAACGGACACCATCACTTGGCATCATTGTACGTGTTCTCAAAAACGTCTCTTGCTTAATTATGCCCGCTAATAAACGTTTTGTGCTGTTTTTTAATTTCTGTAGTAGGCTATATACTGCGCAAAGATATTTTTGATGACATTTGAATTTCTATGTAGAACAGACGAAAAAACAAACAAAACTGTGTTAAATAATGATAAAAAATTGATCCATTATAGTTTATCTTTTTGTTAAGTTATATTTCTTAGGTGAGATTATGTTAATATCACTTTTTCATGCAATATAAATACTGTACAATGGTTGACAATATAAGGTTGTTAAATTAATACTACGACAATGCATTAACGTGTTTTGTGTTATATTTGGCCAACTTTTTATTATTTTCCCTAGCATTTGCCCGAATTTTCATGGTTTTCCGATTTCTCTATTTTTTTTTTTGGGAGGGGGGGGCAGCCCGCCTCCTGCCCCCTGTCTCGTAGGCCTATGACTACGACATTGTTCATACATGCACACTTTTCTAGTTGAATCACGCCCACTTGGCTATATATACAGCCTGTTTTTATATTGAGATATTGGCTTTAGAGCTAGGCTTATATATTTTATATATTGCAATCAGTCAATTGGTTATCTTGGCTTATCCAGAAAGAAGTGGCAAAAGGTTACAAAATGAATAACATATTTTAATATTATTGTCTGCTCGTGCCATGTTTAAGGTATTAAAGGTGCTCAACCATGTGATAGCGTGTTCTACATAATATGCGTATATTGGCAATATATATATATATATATATATATATATATATATATATATATATATATATATATATATATATATATATATATATATATAT